CCGCCTCCTATCTGCTGTGTTTCTATCGGTATCGACTCAGTCAAATAAATGGAGAGGGAAAATAACTCAGTATTCCACTGTTAGCACATTTTACTTGTAGGACCTACTGATTTGAATGAGGTATATTAAATTGTTTGTTCTAGCATGTTGATTTATGTGAACAGCAAAAGAAAGTTCTGCTGATTTACAGACATCTTTACCACAATGTAAGTCAATCGGAAAAGTATTTTTGGGCCCAATTACAACACGATCTGACATGGAAGTTGTAGTACCACCGTTTAGCCACTACAACATTTACTTCAGATCCCAGTCAACTTCCAGGGTGCTTGGGAGGCATTTGATTGTAAAGCGTTATATTCACAGGGACTGTTGCAAAACCAAGGAGCTCATAAACATCAGATTTAATAACGAGTAGAGTTTTAAAAAATAATCCCAGAGCTCATGTTTTCTGTACCTGAACATTTTCAAAAAATATGCTCTTCCTTTTTTGGTTCGGTGTAATGGCTCAACAGCGCCACCTAGAACGAAGCACCTATATGTAGGATTTTCCTGCATGTAGGAAGATTGGAGGGAATACATTGGGGTTAGGGTTAAATATCTATTGGACTGTAAACCCAACAGGAAGTCGGCCAATTTGAAAATGAAACAAAATCTTACGAGAATTCCTGTTTCTGACGAGAGTGGGTCTTGCTTACACCCTCCACCTTAGAAGAAGAGCCTCAATTAGCTTAGAAGGACTATATATGGATTTCACTTTTTTTATTATTATTTTTATTTTATTCTATTTTATCTTTACCTTGTGGGAATCCTGTTCTTCACTCTGATCCTGTTGCTATAAACGCCTGCATTCTTCCACGGGGATAAATAAAGTTCCATCTCATCTTATCTATCATAGAGTGGGAAGGTGTAGGGGTCAGTTTGGGATTGGGCCCCTGAGTTACAAATCCAGTCAGAGTAGGACAAGTCAGAAATAGCAGCAAGATGTCAGCTGTGCGATTCAACACTCAGGTGATGTCTCTCTCTTGGCCTGCACTAATTGAAACAGAGAAAGACATGTTATGAGCCAAAAAAGATTAATGATGAGAAATTGTGTTGCTGCTTGGTGACAGACTCTGACCTACTTTGTTGAACAATTAGATCCTCATTAAGATCCTTTTTTCTCAGCAAGAAAGCTAGACAAGGTGATTAAATATCCCAGCAACTCCTCGACTGTTTATATATTTTGTTTAGCAGCGCTTACACAACCGACTAATTATGTCTTTTGTTTAACATTTTAATTAGCTGCTTTGTTGGCACCACTGTTATCCAATCCAAACATTTACTGTACTGTTATCACATCAGAATACTTTATTTATCCTGGGGGAAATTTCGCTCTGTGACAGTTGCTCCTTTTAAGAATGAAATAAAATAAGTAATTGAAAAATAAATGAAAAGTTAAATTAGGAATGTCCAATGTATTTTGGCGCCCCTGTTAACCCTGATTAATATAAACCATAAACAAAAGTAAGTGAAATGTACACATTGAACTACAATATTATCACAATAAATGAAATACTTAATGGAATGATTATACTGCCAGTCTTTTTGTTGTGAAGTAACACATGGGTTTGTTCCTCCACAGGCTCCTTCTCCTTCTCCGTGCTGTCGGGGAAAGTCATGTTCAGAGACGTGTACTACATTAACCAGGACATGTCCATCAGGTAACCTGTGCTGCGTTCACTGTCCCCGCTCCTCTGCTTCAATATTATTTTAAAGGCTGTTCACTGACATGTGATATTTCTCTCCCCGTGTTACAGGATACAGGATGGCTTCCTCATATTTCGGTGGTGGAAAATGTTTAACCCAAAGCAGAAACAGCATGGTAATACAATATCTTATATAAATACATTCAAAGGATTATTTCTGCTTTTACAGTTTCTAGGGTTGATTGATGAAAAACTAAAAGCTAGAGAAATAAAATATGTGTGCATAAAAATATTATTAAAACCAAAACAAAAATTCTCTAAGGTCGCATTCACAGCTAATAGTCCGACAGTTTGTTACATTGTTTCATTTTTAAGAAGGTTCAGTTTGTACTCACAATTTAAATGGACTATAAACTTTAAACACAAGTCATGTGCTCGGAAATGCTGTTCAACAATTGGTCAGACATTAAGGGGGTAAAAACGCAAATCCCGGCCATTTCTACCGTAGCTTTGGAGCATCGGCAGGTTATTTTCATACTGTAGTTAATCTGGAGAGCATATCAACAGATTCTAGCAACGGTGCATATGATTATATAATCAGACAACTTGCGATAAAAAAACATTATAACACATATAATGAGAGACGTTCTGCAGTAAGGAGGAGTTTTCACCGACTGCGTTCACACCGACCCAAACGAACCGCACCAAGCGGCTAAACGCACCAGGGTTCGATTCAACCGGACTATACAAGGCTGGTGTGAATGCGACCTAAGACTAGATAAGCTTTCCTTAGATTTATAAAAATATATTCCTTCATCATGTGTAATGATGATATTGTTGAATGAAGCATCATTCTGGACTCCCCACCCAAAATGAACTAGCTAGCATAGCATGAAAGGAAACATCATCACAAGATTGCTTTCTTATTTCTTTTCTCCAGACCCCAAGGCAGAGACCCGGCTTTACGTGACCGTTAACGGCTTCGAGTTCCACGTCTACAATCGCACCGACCTCTACGCCCGACTGCAGGAGACCTTCGGACTGGACCCCACACTCATAACACCCAAAAAAGAAGACGAGAAGGGACGAGAGGATAGAAACAAGACGCTAGAAAGGTACAAATAAAGACCTTTTGGAACATTAAAGCATGGAAACATGCCACCGCAGAAGCACAAAATACTAATATGAACCTGAAAGTTAGCATAATAGGGCCACTTTAATGTATTGGGTAATTATCATTTTTCATGCGAATTCCTTCCATCTTTTGGAAATAGTTGAAGTTAGTTTTTCAACATATAATGCCAATCACTCTGTCTATTTGATGTTCTACTCCTTTTTTATAAAATGGTCTTAGTTAGGAAATGATGGTAACATTGTACACTAAACCCTGATTTGAAGGTTAAGTAGAAGTCACGTTAAGGGGTGTTTAACAAGAGCTAGCTTTTTTCTGCCGGTTTCTCACAGTGTCTTGCTTCTGTTGTCTTTATTTAGCATTATAAAGACGTCATACTGTAAATCTGGCCTATTTTTAGCACAATGATCCTCATACTTAAGTTGTAAACAAAACTGCAAAAAGCAGGAATCAGCGATTTCTCCTCCGACATGATTTATGGAGGGAGATTTGATGACCCGCAGTTTCTTTCTGTTCTCATCAAATGCATGGGAAGTGTGTGCACTGAGGAGAGCTGCTGTCGCGTCACACTAACAGCCCAATTAATTGTGCTGACTGCAACATGAAATTGTCATGAGAATGAACGTCTTCTTCTCGCCCCCGTGTAGCGTGGACATCAAAGCAGAGAGCGCTGACCACACATCATCATGGCGCTCCCTCATTCCTGTCATCAAAGTGAACATCAGCACTGTAAGTACCCGCTACTAATAATTCATGCAATCTGGTCAAAGAAAGGAAGCATACATGTAGTTTAAAGAAGACGTTCCTGCTGTTTCAAAGAGGGGATGTCCCGTGGATAAATTGGGTTTGGTTATAGTTGGTCCATGTATGAGTAGTTCATAACATCAAAGATAAATACAATACAAATATGTATATATAAACATCAAAATGTAAAGTAATGATGTGCAATGAAATAATGTATATACAATTTAATTAAAGGTCCCATGTCATGGCCATTTCCGCTGATCATAATTCCATTGTTGAGGTCTACTAGAATAGATTTATAGTGTGCAATTTTCCAAACTCACATTGGTTTCTCATACAGCATCTCTGTAAACTACGTGTATTCACTGAATGTCACTCTCTGCCTTTAACGGCTCGTTGTCGCTCCAATAGCTCCAGCCCCCACCCTCCCTGTGAGCACAGTGTGCTCTGATTGGTCGGGACGTTATGAATCGCGCTGATCTCCGTGGAGGTGTGGTTTCCTTGTTTAGCGATAAACAGTGAAACACAGCCAAACTCACCCTGAGCACACACAAAGTCACAGCCGAAGTAAAAACAATAAGTGTGGCTTGATATTGAGTAAGAAAAAGGTTGATAAACGCTGTGAGAATGGGTCTGCAGAGAGAATTTCGCCACAATCCCAACTGTCTGTTATCAGCCTGCAGCCAGGGAGGAGAGATCAGCAGAGCTGCCTGCACTGAGTGTGTGTGTGAGGAAGTCCGTGGATTGGTCATTTTGGACCAATCAGCGGGGGCTTAACGTAACGGCTCCGCGGACGTAACGTAACGGCTCCACGGATTGGTCCATTTGGTTCCGGGTAACGCATGACCGTCATGTGGCACCCGGAAGAATCAATGGACAGTGACGTATCTCCAACGAGGCGTTTTGGGGAGGTATTTTCTGTGTTAGAGTTTTACTCGCTACAGTGTGTACTTT